TTATGTGTGACTAATGGTTGGCTGAGAATGTTATTCAGCTTTACTTTTATTGTGGTGTCTGTCAGAAGGCACTGGATGATGTGCAGCTCATCATGATCAATGACTGTTGACAGTATATTGATCAGCCTGACCCTTGATATAGTGTCAAATGCCTTTGACATATCAATGCCTAAGATTGAGATCTCCGGCGCAACACGCTGGCATCTTGCTGATAACCACCGATAGCTATATACCACGTCTCCAGTACTTCTCCCTGACCGGAACCCGCTCTGGTTCAGTGACAAGTACCCATTGATAGCTGGCTTGATCCGCGTCAGGATGACCAATGAAAGAAGTTTACGTAGGGTGTTCAACAGGGTAACTGGCCTTACATTTCCAGGAGGACCTCTTTTCTTTCCCGGCTTTGGTATCGGGATCAGTAGCCCATCGCCTAGCTTGAGTGATTTGTCTTTGGCATAATTGTTGAATGTAGTGGCAATGTTCGAGAACAGTGCTGGTGTTCCATATTTGATAAGTTCAGCAGGTATCCCATCTGGTCCCGAAGCTCGGCCATTATTCAAGCGCTTAGCTGCGGCATGTACCTCTGGCTGCTTTATAGGGTTTTTAAGGTCTTCCTCTGTCCGTAAGAGCCTAGATGACTCCAGAGCAGGATCACAGAATATAGCACGGAAGTGTTGCCTTAATGCTTCGACTGATTCACTAGGTTGTGCAATGAGTTTGCCATCAGAGTCTTCAACCACAACTGGTGACTGCTGCTGTCGGCGCAGTAGTCGTGTTGCTTTGAACATTTTCGCGTCGTCTTTCATTTGGTCTATTTCAGCTACACGTTCGTCATGATACTCAAGTAAATAATAACTTAATAATAATATTTTGAACGGATTGGGAGAACTTCAAATTCAATGGATCAGTTGGGGAAGTGAACTTAATAATAATAATAATAATAATTTAATAACGAAGGTACGTGTTGGGTCGTAAGTACATGTATGCACGCAAACACACATCCAGTCAAAATAAGGCACTTGTCATAAGTATCCGAACGTTTTCGGTCCCTTCTCATCAAGGATTATACAGGGAATGGCTCAAGTTGGAAAGACTAAAACTTATATAGCGTAAAGATATGAGATAACAACACTCGTGACAAGGTGGAAAATTATCAAGTTCAGCACGACACAAAACTCGAGGGAAATAATAATAGTGACAAGAACATAGTGAGAAAATTAAGTTTTAACACCTCGACGAGGAGTAACACCAAACAATTGTAGCGACAACACATTTTCTTTCTGTACGCAAAGTTCAGGATCTAACTTACGGATATACAAAGCTTCTAACACAGCCAGATGCAACGCACATCTACCACGTGACAATATTGAGAACACATTATTATCACTGTACAACTCACGACAATTGGTACGGGCTGACAGATGTTGCTTGATGGACGAAATGCGATTCTTAGCTCCGTTAGGTGTTGTCTCCTCCAATGTCCCGTCATCTCGCCTCTTCGCGGCATCACCACTATCCGTCTCTTTGCTTTTCCGCGGCCTTCCACGTTTTCTGACACTAGCCGTTGTGTGCGCGATGCCCAGTGTCCTTTCAGCTACGTCTCCTCCATTGCGGATTTCTATTGATCTTCTTACTCCAACTTGTCCGGTGTTCGATATTGAGGTTCGTTTCGTTTCGTTTCTGTCAGCCCGTACCAATTGTCGTGAGTTGTACAGTGATAATGTGTTCTCAATATTGTCACGTGGTAGATGTGCGTTGCATCTGGCTGTGTTAGAAGCTTTGTATATCTGTAAGTTAGATCCTGAACTTTGCGTACAGAAAGAAAATGTGTTGTCGCTACAATTGTTTGGTGTTACTCCTCGTCGAGGTGTTAACAATGTAACTTAATTTTCTCACTATGTTCTTGTCACTATTATTATTTCCTTCGAGTTTTGTGTCGTGCTGAACTTGATAATTTTCCACCTTGTCACTAGTGTTGTTATCTCATATCTTTACGCTATATAAGTTTTAGTCTTTCCAACTTGAGCCATTCCCTGTATAATCCTTGATGAGAAGGGACCGAAAACGTTCGGATACTTTGACAAGTGCCTTATTTTGACTGGATGTGTGTTTCGTGGATGCTTACGACCCAACACGTACCTTCGTAACTAAAGTATTATCCGCCTCCGACTTCTTGTAAAATAATAATAATAATATTAACTGGTTTGAGGGAAAGAGACAAACGGGAAAAGTCTGAAGAAAAAATTGACTGTCACCACCAGGACTCGAACCAGGGACCCTCGCTTGTAGCCAGCGATGCTCTAACCACTGAGCTATGGTGTAGTCGTCATCCCAGCAGACTTCGTAACTCACACTTCCAATAATAATAATAATAATACCACAGCACGCGTACAAAGGCCAAAGACCAATGCATGAGAATACACTGAAATTAAGCCAAGTCCGCTTCTGTCTCCAGTCAACAAAAAACTCATCCATAAACAATGTCTGATCTCCATTTCGACTTGTCTGCAGCAAATGCTCGTGCTCCTTCTACTAGGTCGCTGGCATTCTTCAAAGGAACGTCGTGCCCTGCCAGGTCCTTCATGATGGTGGTAGGGAGAGTAGCTGCGGGACGGTCCCTTCGTCCACGTGACCCCGCTTGAAAATAGCAGGACATCGCAAGGCAAGGGGGTGACTGCTCACTACTCATCCTCAGCACATGGCCAGTGGCGACCAGTGAGGCTACGGCGTCGCTTGGCAACAAGCTCCGACAGTGGCTGCGAGTCACATCTGGAATACAGATCATCATTCGTAATTCTGTCTGGATAAAATAATAACTTACAGTCCATTTCAAAACTATAGACGCGTACTTAGGCAAAAACCGTTATGCCAGCATCTATACCACATAAAATCTGTGATCACTTTGTGCATATTTTTTTCCAAATTGGGTGTCTGTTATCCAATCCTTTAGAAACTATATGAGAGTAATTGTGGAGCGATCCTGAGCAATATTCCGAAAACTATTCTCAAAAAGTTCCAGCCAAATTTGAAATATTTCAAAAACCCTACGCGTCTATAGTTTTGAAATGCACTGTAAGGCTATGTAAAATATATTGATTGTTTATCGTCAGGTTTTCCCGAGAAATCGGGGCGGACGGGAGGTTTTTAATTTTATTTTTTATTATGCATGTATGGCTGTAGGGCAGGTGTTCGCAACCCCAGAGGATATTGAAAAGTGGAACAACCAACGTTACGTAGAAAAACGAAGAAAATCAGGCAGCTTATGATCAGTTTCACTTTTCAAGCCCATAGCAACTGAGTTATGGTTCAGTCTGTGGACTTGACCTTCGAAATTCTACGGCCATGCTGATTAGAGGCTGTAGACCGCAGTACATACAGTACATTTACCAGTATTAAAAATAAAATAATTCGGCCGGGAGGGTGAAAACTTGGGGCGGGCGCTGACGATAAACAATCATTTTGTTTCACTTGGCCTAAGATGGGCTACTACTATTGACAGCTGCCAGAATTGGCCACGCCGCTCCCAGATGGGAGGTACTGTCATAGAGGTTAGGGCGCATTCAGACTACCGTGAACCCCGTCAAACCGTGAATGCCGATAATAAACCGTGAAGGACATTCGCACTACCGATAAACTAACGGTACCGTTTAATACGTAAGTTTTGCAGCTCTCGCCGCGGCATTGAGAAAGGATTTTCCCTTTTTTCCGGCCTGAACACTATTTTTACCGCCGGAAAAGTTTTACTGCAGCAAAACATTTCCGCCAGTAACGTTACGTGATCAAATCACCTCGGAAACTTTCCCAATCGGTCACTTTTCATCTGTAGTCTGAACGCACCCTTACAGGGGGAGGAAGGCAATGCTCCAAGTGGCGATCCAGATCTTGCCCCCTCCGGAACCGTCGGGGGGGGGGGGGGGGGCTGGTCATCATCACCCACCCGGCACTTATGCGCTGAAACCCTCCCCTGCCACGTAGCCATCGGTTGCATGTTGCACACTGCACTGACCCAGACTGCTCCGATACAGGGAGCTGACGGATTGTCGAACACTTGTGCCAGGCCATGTCACAGCTACGGCGGAACAGACGGTTGCAGGTTGGGCACTCAATGTTCTTCGGGGCAGGTTCCTTGTCCTCACCTGCTGCTGGCACCACTCCACGCCACTCTCCACGGTCGCTTGCCAACTCGAACCAGTTACGCACTCCAGCCACAGATAGGTCCGTGTGGATGGTGTCCTTCCAGCAACAACGAGGTCGTTGCAGAATGGCCGAGACCAGGGGAGACAGGCAAACAGAAACTGCTTCGGTACTCTGGTGTCATCAAGACGAGCCAGGTGCCCAAGCTACTCCAACCGTCTCTGCTGCACCATGCGTGATGATGGTGTGAGATCAACACCACTGTGCTCGCAGTTCCTGTGAGGAGATGCGCTGTTCCCACTGTTGGCCTCGCGATGCGCCAAGGATGGAACGAATGTTGGCATGGTGAAACCGGTCCATTCTGTCTAAATCTGACTTCAACGGCGTCCAGCATTCTGAACCATACAGAACCGTTGACAGGACGCAAACGACATACAGGTGGCGCCTGGTAGGGAGGTTCAGGCTCCGGTCATGAAGGATGCGCCGAAGACCACAAAAGGCCCCTGCACCCTTTGCTAGACGGCTCCGAATGTCCGCTTGCGACCGCCAGTCCGGAGTGATGGTGGAACCAAGATAGGGGAAGAGGGTAACTGCTTCAAGCCTATCATCGCCAATGACCAAATCAGAGCAATCAGCAGGGGAAACTCCGAAACCTGCGACGAGAAGCTTCGTCTTGGTCATGCTCACTGTGAGACCCAAGCTGGATGCGACCTCACAAAAAGCAGACATGGATTGATTGGCTGCGTTGCGAGCACACATACTCACGCACACAATCCCCTGTCCTGTAGAGGACACACACACACACACACACACACACACACACACACACACACACACACACACACACACAGTGACATACTAACATACTGAGGAGCCATACACGACATAGGTCAGACTGTAACATCATGGTGAAGAGCGCAATCAGGATATAAATCACATCTCCAACGCATCAAACAGTCATCTCGGGGAAGACAACAAAAAAACAGTGTTAAAACGTTAGGCAACTCGACTGCGCGTATGAAAAGCACTGATGAAAAGAAAGAAGGGCAGAGGGAGTACGGCACACAAACATTAGCTTGCTAGTTGGGTTTTGCTGAACGCACGTATATAATATCATATAATGACAGAGCGCCGGGATACTACTGCTATTATCTAGGGCGACGGCACACCAACGGACGCGACTAAACAGGTCGAAAACGACAACAGCAACACACGCCCCGGTCCGTGCCGGGAGAAAACGAGAACGGAAACGGCTACGGCGCAGCTGAAAACGACACGACAGCATCGCACTCTGCATGCAGTGCGGGGAAAAAATAGTGTTGGTTGGCGGTCGATACGTGGGCAAAATGGAGGAGAGAATCGTACAGGTATTACAGCAATTAACGGTCGTTTTGCCCTGTGGATCTTTTTGATGCGTAAATAATTTTATGTGAGAAAAAACCAGTTCGAAGCACGGGGTCACGTGACAAGCCTAACTTAGGGTACCGAATATGGAGATAAAAATAGAGAACATCCACGGGGAAAAAAGAACGACGTTAACTCCTAAACCGGTTGAGAGAAAAATAACAGAGGTGAGACACGAAGGACCCGTCGCAGTGTGAGCATCAAAGAGACAGCGGGGGCGGCGTGCCATTGGTGTGCTCACAAGCACAGCATCCGTAACCAAAGTTAAGTGCCGGATGTCCCTCCGAGACATGACGACATCCTTTACGTTTGTTGAAACGGCTGTCGATCCAATCCACACGCCAAAACTGGCAGCTGGGAAAGACTCAACCCAGTTTTCTGCTGTTGCTGCTGTCCTGGGCCAGTAATAAGGTCTGTGCAAAGGGCACAGCGTCCGCAGCTGCTTACCTGCTCAGAGAGAGAAAGAGAGAGGGAGGGAGGAAGAGTGAGAGAGAGAGGGAGCAGCACCAAACACCGACTAGAATGGCGGTGGGTCCATGGGTGGCGGTGGTGGCGGATACTGTCCGGAATGCGGTGACATGGGCGGCGGGAAGTCGTTTAGCGGTGGCGGCGGATACATCATGTCACCCGGCGATCCAATCGGGGGCTCGCAATAGTCTGAGAACAACACGCGTCACATCGAAGGAAGACAACAGCAATCAGGAACGTACACCTCTATGGATACACACTGCATTGGAGAAGGCATTCAAGACCATGTTAAAACAAAATAAGTTCCAGACCGCAATAGAGAAGACATACTGGACAATGGTGAAGTGATGTCTAACTCGTGTCAGAGAGAGGGAGGGGAGGGAGTGAGAGAGAGAGAAAGAGAGAGAAAGAAAAGGAAGAAAAGCATAGCCGCGCTTACCGATTTCATCCATTGGCGGTGGCTCCATGGGCGGAGGCGGAGGCACACTGGAAAAAACAACAGCACATAAGCAAGATAAGTCAGCCCGCCAGGACACCACCTTGATAACCAAATTTGCCAGTGCCTACACAGACGAAGCGCTTTGCCTCTACCTACGCACTTTGGCTAATTGAGCAGATGTAATAGAACAGTCAAAACCTGGCTTGTGTACTGAATGTGTAGAGATTGTTTGACTAACAGTCACAATTGCTCAGAAGTTGCGACAGACTGGGCCTTTCGAAAATAATTTGAAACTGGATATGGAACATCAATCCAGGAACGAACTTCCTCGCTATGGTGTGGGCCAAGAGCGAAGTGTGAAGAGGTGGGTGAACAATTTCAAATTAACAGTCACAGTTAGCAGTTTTGAGACAATAACTTTGAGACTACAGATTTCTGAATGTTTTCTGCAGCGGAAATAGTAACGATTGCCTTAGACGACTCGCCTTCCCCCCCCCCCCCCCCCCCCCCTCACACACACCAGCACTCACAATCGCGAATTCTGTTGCCAGCTTTGTCCTCCCGAAGGCATTTGCGGAACTGGAGAAGAAAGACATCAAGCAACGGATGAAGAAAGCAACAGGAGACAAACGGTGTCAGACTCTAGGTAGCTCTAGTGAATCTATAAACCCAATGGCAAATGCGACAAGACCACCGAGACTGACATACGGAGACCAAGAAGAGACACGATCTTTGTTGTCTGAGGTTTGGCGGATAGCCATGACACTCTGAGTTACAGCCTAATGCAGCCTAGTTACGTTGGCTAACTTGTGTGTTTTTGCCTCTGCCCTCGTGGCATTGAGCACTTTTGCAAGGGTTTAGCAACGTAGCTTGTGAGACCAAGAAGAGAGATACTGTACAGGCAGAAAATTTCGTCGGTCAACAATGGAAGAAAAAAGAAAGAAAGGGAGTTTTTCCGGTTGAAAATTCCGTCCATGGATCACAAGAGTGTATTGAAAAGCTGGACAAATTGACATTATTTTAATAGTCCAGCATTTAATTCAGCCCAAAAGCTCCTTGGGACGAAAATAAAATCCAGACGGATATTTCTGCTTATACAGTAGAAATGCAGTGTGCCACAGTGTTCAGGAACTTACCTTGTGGTGGCGCGTGGAAGTTATCCCTAACAGAGTGCAACAAAGGACACAGAGGTCACAATGGATACAAGGGTCAGTGAGCTAAGGCCAATGGAATTGCAATACATGTACACTCAGACCGCGCTTAACCGCACGCATCCGTTTTCCACAAAAATATCCGGATAGGCGAGGGAACCGGATAACCGAATACCGGTCAGGTTGGATGCATCACGTATGCTGCAAATCTGTAACCAGCTATTTTCTTCCGGATGGCGAGGGATCCGGATAAAAGAGAACCGGATAAGCCAGGTCTGACTGTACAGCAACTTTTTCCAGACCTGGAAAATTTAAATCTAAAATCCAAACGTTTTCCAAACTTCCAAACTTTGCTGCGGACCCTGGAACTCCCCTCATCTGGGCAGGTTGGCACCAAGCACTCCCCGTAGTGCAGAACCTGCATTCCATTCCATGCAAGTGAACAACTTTTTGCCAATCAATATTTTTAATGCCACTGTTTAGAAGACTATGTTGCGACTCTAAAGGGAAAAGAAAGGTGCTCGGCTGACGGGAGTGCCCGGATCTCGGAATATGAATTAGTGGAGTACAGTCCCTACATATACTTTGAAAGAAGTGATGGCATCTGAGATGCAGACAAATCTCCATCCTTAGCAGACATAGAGAGTGGCTTGACATCTTTATCATCTGACTAAACTTGCATAGAAAGTTGTCATGGCATGTCATGCGGACAGTGTAACCAGCATGGCCGACATCACGTGACCCATAGATGCAAGGGTTGAGTGGACTCAGTGGAGTTGGAACCAACATGGCCGACATCACATGACCCATAGATGCAGGGGTTGAGTGGAGTTGTAACCAGCATGGCTGACATCATGTGACCCATAGATGCAGGGGTTGAGTGGAGTTGTAACCAACATGGCTGTCATCATGTGACCCATAGATGCAGGGGTTGAGTGGAGTTGTAACCAACATGGCCTACATCACATGACCCATAGATGCAAGGGTTGAGTGGAGTTGTAACCAATATGGCTGTCATCATGTGACCCATAGATGCAGGGGTTGAGTGGAGTTGTAACCAACGTGACTGACATCATGTGACCCATAGATGCAGGGGTTGAGTGGAGTAGGAACCAACATGGCTGCCGCATAATATCATGCGATGGACGTGCAACAGTTCTCTTAGTACTTACTGCATGGGGATCTGGGGCTGGTTGTCCCAGCTGGTGTTCATCGGCGGCGGAATAGGGCCACCCAGGTGTCCACCCATCAGACTGCCACTACCAGCAGACGTGCCAGCTAAACGGAAAACACATCAAGGCACCCACACACCCACATGTACAAAATGCACTCCTTAGGCACTGGTTCACTCATCAAACACCGCAAGCAAAACAGCTGCCTTGAGGGGAGGGTCATTTGTTGATATCCAATAATTCGCCACATGCAGTGAAACCTGTCTAAGCCGACTGCTCAAGAGACCTTACAAGTGTGGTCCCTGTACAGGTGGTCTCCTTATCCAGGGCTATTTGACTGGAAATCCCAGCCCTTGGTCCTGGTTGTAGAGGTGCTGTTGGGCAGGCGGTCGTCGTATCAGAGCGGTCGCCTTGGCAGGTTTTACTGTAGTTACGATGCTTTACACGGGAGTCCACACTGCACTGCACACTTGTATTCACTGTACGTGAAAAGACGTCTTGGGAAAATCGGGAAGGGTCGCGTAGCACGTGAAAGCACGTCACTGGGGGTGAAATGGTTAATGCATAACTTGTACCCAGCTCGTGTCCAAAGTTCTCTAAATACTTGGTGCTCATTCTTGCAAAGAGAAAAGACCAATACGTTACGAGTTGGCTCACCATCCGAGATCATCCTTGCAACAATTAATATGAAATAAACGTACTAACCGAAATCAACAAGACAAGCTGAATCGACATTTGTGTATATGATATCGATTCAGCTTGTCTTATTGATTGCGGTTATCAAATACGTGTCTCCTCGCCGTTTGATCAAATAAACTTACGCAAATCGAATCCAGCCGTAAAGCTTGGATCTGGTTGTGCATCATCTCTACACAACGCAAGACAAACAACAGAGAACCGTTCTGATTGGATAGACGTATACATGTGTACATGTACTGGTAACACCCACCCACCAACTGACACTCACAACACCCACCCACCAACTGACACTCACAATGCCCACCCACCAACTGACACTCACAATGCGTACTACCCGCAATGAGTAACAACTGCCATGGAAGAAAGTTCAAATGAATCCTGGTCACAGCGATGCAATCGGAACTGGTCCAGGGCGTCAGTTTTGCACTTTTAGGTCGGAGTTCAGTGAGCACAACTATGCAACTGTCCATGCACATGCGCGCACGTGTACTGCGAGGGAGAGAAGAGCACCTACCTCAGGTTGGGGTGTTTCCGGTAGCCGGTTTCTGAGCACAACACAACACACCACCGTAGAGCAATGATTTCGGAGAAAGCAGACAGCTCTCAGAACAACAGAAGCAGTACATCAGACAAGACAAGCATGTGGTGACAACATCGGCAGCTCTTAGTTGAGTGGGCAGTTGCGCAGTGACCAGTCATTTCAGGAAATGAGAGGCTGTAAGTGTGGAAAACACCATGACCCGGGCATTGCTACTACTAGTATTCGCACATACATGTACAAAACCAGCAACGGGACATGAAAACCAGAGCAGGCAATTTCAGCTGTATACCCTTCATACCTGTAGTGGCTTTACAATACACCCAATCAGACGCAGGTACAGTGCTTCCAGACCACTACAAATACACGCACACACAGATACACAAACACACACACACACTCACCGGACCGTCGTAGAGGTACTGCCCAGCCTTCGTTTACTTCAACATAATATTGGACAACTTCGATGATGTTGGGAAAGGATTTTTCCTGTGCACGCGCAAACACAAGGGTATGGGAACAACACCAAACACACGCGCAAACACAAGGGTATGGGAACAACACCAAACACACGCGCAAACACAAGGGTATGGGAACAACACCAAACACACGCGCAAACACAAGGGTATGGGAACAACACCAAACACACAGTTACTATAGTGAGCACATGCTTTCAATTTCTTCTTCAACAAAACACTAAGTGACCAGGTCTGGGAAACCGCCGACTGTAAAACCGGAAAATTCCGGTGGAGCTTTATTGTTGGTACAGGCTTTTTTTTAAACCTAAAATACAATGAGACATAAAATTCCAATCAGCCATGCCACACAGTGTGCAAAATGCATTTTTGGATCTGGAAAACTGAAAAAAATTCCCGGAATTTTCATGCTACCGAACCATTGATTTTGGGAAATACCCAAATTATGACCCGGAAATTCCCAGTTTTACTATAGCTAGGACATTGGAGGTTTCCTTGGAAATCATACACGGCGCGTACGCGTCTGCAATTGTCATATTTTTTCTGCACAAAGTAATCATAAAGTCGTAAGCAATGTGGATCTAAAAAGTAAGCAAATTTCTTTGCCTTGCTTGTCCAATGCGGAAAAACCGGCGGAGATGAGAGTAATAGGACTCCTTGAGATATCCAGTGAAAAAATTCACTTTCATGTGGCGATTTTTCAGAAAGTGAAGAAAATGCCTATTAGGAGTCGTCCATAATTATCGAACTTTTTTCACAAAACGAAATAATTTCGTTATGGGGTGGGAGGGGGTTGACCAATTTCGTTTCAGAAACATTGATGTATGTACATGGCCGATGGAGCAATGACACACTTGCAACTTTTGTTGTACATGTGTTCGCATGTATATGAATGTCAACATTTTTTACGTTCTGAGGGGGAGGGAGGGAGGGGGTTGGGTCTAAACTAAAATAATTCGTATGGTGAAAAATGTTCGATATTTACGGACGGCCCCCCTAAGATCGCGGGGAACGAATTTATCACAGTTTGTCGCGGTTTACTGAGCTGAGATAATGAAGACAAGTGGTACACAGACGCGGCGCTCTAAGCGTACATGTTACGAAATTCGATTCGCTTATTATTTACATCCGTTGTTGTTCCTGGTCTCGCTGTCTTGTCTTGTCCGGTGTCAAATATGGTCTGCTGTCTGTACGGGAGTGATGCGGGGTGTGCAGTATATGGGTGTGATGCGTATGACGTGGTGTATGTGGTGTATGTGGTGTATGCGTTGTCAGAAAGTGTGGATCTGCTTCTGCCTGAGTGAGTGCGTTTGTCTACTAGTTGTCGCGCATGCGTGGATTATGTGGAGCATGCGCTGTGAGAGTCGAGTTCGGGTGCGAGGGAGTGGTGTGATTCGTCCACGATGTTGTTGTCTTGGTTCTGGTCACATGTATCATACGTACTAGTCGCTCATTGGTCGTTTCGATGTGTTCGCCCTTTCTCTGTTTATAACTGTTGGTTGTTTATTATTTCGTGGTCTTTCTTCCCCGCTCTCTCCGCCGTCAGTTCGTGTTTTATCAATTACAAGTATTCTTGAAGCCAAATGAATCAGCGAACGGTTGTGTGGTGTGCGGACCAGGGAGTGGGGGAAACTTCCATTACAGTGGTGCCCAACGTGGAGCTCGAACCCACGACCATGAGATTAAGAGTCTCATGCTCTACCGACTGAGCTAGCCAGTGTTACTCATGGACACTACTCTTGTCCTAACCCTTTCCATTTGGATTGGAAAAGCTCTTCCTCGTCCGCCACGAACACGACAACGAGGAGAGCTGTGCTGGATGTCCTCGCCAGTATTGCAGGACGTCCTGTTTCCTCGATCTGCAGAGGGTGCAGAGCTGTGGCCGACTGCAAGCCGGAAGTCGTCCAGCACGAGCTGTATGCACCACCCAGGACGTCCGCAGACACCGCCGATGTGCGAAAGGTTCCATCTCCCAGTGAGGTATGTGCCCAGCCTAGCCCACTCCACTCCCAGAGAACAAACCTGTAGGGTGTGGGGACTGTGAGGAATTAAAAGGTCTAGTGGAGAAGTTGAAAAAGGAGGTTGAAGAATTGCGAGAAGAGAACATGTTTCTCAAGTCCAGGGAATTTTTAGATGAGCTTCTTGCGGCAGAACAAGGTAGGGTGAAGGTAATTGTTAGTTAATGAGTAATGAGATATGTAAGATAGAGAATAAGTTTCATTTACGCTGCTAGGAACCTGAATTATTGCTCGCAATTTCGTATGGCGTTTCAGGCAGTTGTGCACGCCATCACCCAAAGTAAAACTGCCGTGGACATGATTGGCCACTTGGGTCCAGGGAGTAGCTATGCCCTGCTGGAGGATTGGCTTGGCAATCTAGGAGGTGAACCTGTAAAAGTACCAGGTGGCTTTGTTACAGTAGGGTTTGACAATGAGCAGCGGCAAATGCGTTCGTACTTATCACGCGGTGCAAATCGATCAACATACGAGATTTTGACGAATGTAGTTTATGCGTTGCATTCGGCGCAGGACCTGCACTCCGCAGAAAGTTATCACGCCCGGCACTGGTCCTTTCCGAGTAAGGAACAGCTTTCGGAAGTACTCTGTTGCCCTGCTCTGACCTCTCCAGCATCGCCAATGCACAGCTATTTGGTCAGCTATGTTAGAAACAGAATAGCTGGTCTGTCAATGGAGCACACCAATGGTTGTGACCCAGTTGTACGATTCCAACAGGAGGAGGAAGACAGCAGATGTTAACTAGTTTGCCCTGGGTGTCAACAGCAGTATGAGAAGAGAAAAGTGAAATGTAGCAACGCAGAGTGTGCTGTCACTAACATCAGGGCTGCTATCGCAGAAGCAGCCGGTCTCTCTAGAGTATCGACTGAAGTTCTCCGTCTTCCCCGGCAGTGGGTGCAGGACTGCACTTTGTTTATCACAATTTAGCAGACAGTGGTGGGGTTAGTGTAGGGCGGGTTAGGGCAACACGCTCAGTGCAGTTAGATTCTCCTCCTGTCCCTCCGGCAAATGCAGGACTGCTTGAGCCTGTCTTCGCCAACCCCAATTCACACGAGGCAGTGCGTGTTCTCCTGAGGGAAATTGGGACAAGTGCAGGTTTGAAGCAATGCGTTGGTGATCAGGGCTGTAGAGAGTGGCTTACCACTGTCTGTGATGGCCTTCCGTTATCACTGATGCGTACCGCCATTGCTCAAAATAGAGACGAGACCAGGAAAGCAGCGTACCATGCCGCGGACATTTTAGATGTAGGCAGCATGAGCAAGGAATCGTTAGTGAGCTACTGTAGGCAGCATTCTTCGAATGTGTCTGGCAGCCTAGCATCGTCGCGTAGCCGTGTAAGCACTCGTGTATAGGCTGCAGGGTAGCGAGTGGGGATTTGAACGTGCCGGCTACCATCCCCACACTGCAGGTGGGTTTGACTGGGTTGTGTCACAGCTCAGGCACTTTACTTTGTCGCCAATGTAGCAAGTTACTGTAAAACCGGAAAATTCCGGTGGAGATTTATTTTCGGTAACTTCGGTACAGGTATTTTTTTACTTTAAAAATAATAATAAAACGTGACCTAAATTCAACCATGCCATGCCACACAATGTGCGAAATGCAATTTTGGATCTGGAAAGCTAGCTTACCGAACTGGTGATTTTGGAAAATACCGAAAATATGACAGTACCGGAAATTCTCGATTTTACAGTATCTTCCTCTTACGAGTAACAGTAGGAGTCGACGGGATGAGAAGTTGCGTGACATTGTTCAATGAAATACGAAAATAAAACATCGACTGGACGAAAGGACATTTTTGAACAAAAAGTCCATTTTCCCTTTTGTTATGACACCGTGTGCTGTGAGACAGGGTCCAGCTCCGCATTGGCGTAATAATTTCCCTTCTGACGCAATGTTTTCACCACGTGGTCTCTGTACACACGTACTCACGCACGTACATACACATTATCCTAACTAGGCGATTTCCAGGACTGGTGACCAGCATTTGTATGTACCATCAGTGACGTTACAACTTAAGTGTCCCGTAAGAAGAACACCAGGATATTGAAGCCGGTCAGCGATCAAAACCCAACTCTCTTTCTCCCTTTCCCCTTTCCATCACACACACACACACACACACACACACACACACACACTCTCTCTCTCTCTCTCTCTCTCTCTCTCTCTCTCTCTCTCTCTTTCTCTCCAATGCCTACTGATGAACACAATATGCAACAAACCAAGAGTGTAGGGGTCACCCAGTATTTCCAGCGACAAGCATTGCATACCAAGTGACATTCAAGATTCTCCAGCTAGCACTGCACATACCTCTAAGCCTGTGAGTGTGTACCGCTGGCCCTGCCGCACGATTTTGTAATGTCTTACGTCATTGTGCTCCGACCTGCAACAAACAACAACAAATTATACGGCCATCAAAAAGTCAATTGGCATTCCAATAGCCATGCCAGTGTGAGTTATAAAGATGTTTGTCAAAGCGGGAACAAGTTATGGCAGCTGAGCAGAATTGAGTTTCGGAAGTATATATTATAAGGTGTATGTGTGTGTGTGTGTGTGTGTGTGTGTGTGTGTGTGTGTGTGTGTGTGTGTGTGCGAGAGGGAGAGAGATAGACAGGGAAAGAGACGGAGAAAGAGACAGAGAGACGGAGAAAGATAGACAGGGAAAGACAGAGACAACGAGAGCAAATGGGCGATGGATGTACTCACTTGAAAGACAGGGAGTAGCACCCTGGTGAGCTTTCGCTTTCTCGCAATAAGAAAGAGCCGTCAACGCCATACGATAGAACGTAATCCTCTGCTACTTCACGAGGAATTCGTCCGTAGAACCATCTGTCGTGACAGTCAAACACAGTAGTGATATCGATAAGGAAACCAGAGGAATCTTACGCCCAGCAAAACACACAAAAAGTTACAGGGTTTCAAAGACAGACAGGCACTCTCATACACTAGGAGCTTCTTCGTTTTTAAAGTGCGCGGAAGGTCAGAGACCGGAGCATCTACAGATATCGGTATTTCAACGGAATTGGCCCAACTGTGGTTGTCACCTTTTCATTTCACCTCCAATCCGTAACAACACACGAACAGTCCTTGGCTACACCACCTACAGCTTTCAAATGTTCACCCAGGAGGACATCATCCCTGACAATGCCCCCTGGGTGAAGGAGGGCATTGTCCCTGACGATGCCCTCCTGGGTGAAGGAGGACATCATCCCTGACGAAGCCCTCCTGGGTGGACATTTGGAAACAATCGCTGTAAGTGGTGTAGCCCAGGACTGTTCATGTGTTGCGGATTGGAGACAGGTGATCGCCTTATCAGAGTGGTCGCCTTAAAGGGGAAGTATACCCTAAAATCAAATTTTCACCAGTTGTAGTCTTCGGGGTACTGAGTCGAATGGTCTTGGTCCGAGGAAGCTGAGATGCTCCCTTCCTCCTTTATTCCCAATCAAACTCGCGCACTTCCACCGAAACTGGGTGACTGCGCCCTACTAGATGGGGAGTTGTATGCAAAATGAATGTCACTAAAAGCGCCATGTCGTTCTTATAAAAGCACGGATGACCGCGATTGGCCGATATGTTGTAGTCTTTTGGACGCTGAGTCGACTGGTTTTGGTCTGAAAAGGCTGCGATGCAGCGTTCCTCCTTTATTCCCAATCGAACATTGTTGAACAAGCGGTCACGTGCTCCTGCGTACACCAGTCACCTGGTGACCGTGCCTGCAGGGTACAACTTACTAGCCTGTTTGACCTTTTTGGGTGCAGTCCTGTCACTCGAGTAGAACTCAAGTTGAACCTTGGTGTGAAAGTTGCCGCCTGCTGGCGCGGTGACCAGGTGATTTGGGCACCCAGGAGCACGTGACCGCTTCTTCAACCATGTTCGATTGGGAATAAAGGAGGAACGCTGCATCGCAGCTTTTTCGGACCAAAACCAGTCGACTCAGTGTCCAAAAGACTACAACATATGGGCCAATCGCTGTCATCCGTGCTTTTATAAGAACGACATGGCGCTTTTAGTGACATTTTGCATACAAATCCCCATATAGTAGGGCGCAGTCACCCAGTTTCGGTGGAAGTGCGCGAGTTCGATTGAGGAAAAAAGAAGGAAGGGAGCGTCGCAGCTTCCTCGGACCAAGACCATTCGACTCAGCACCCTGAAGACTACAACTGGTGAAAATTTGATTTTAGGGTATGCTTCCCCTTTAACCCTTATCCGACCGTCAAAGTGGACAAATTCTCAGTCCCAGCGAGACCCCGCAACTCGTTTTCTTGATAACTTTAGGTACTCTTGGGTGATACTGGCAATCTTGGGCTTTTTGGAAAGCTTGAATCATGAAGAGTTCTCCAGAAACAGTGTCTAGCCTTCATTTGTAAAAGGAACAAAAATCCATCTCCAATTCCGTTTTTTGAAGAGAAGCACGGCTCATCAACATGTGGACTATTTGTAGTCTTAATTTTGTACTTTCATGCTAACACATTTTGAATATACTTGGTCCGTTTCATCGCAATTGTCGCTTATCTTTCGCAACTAAGAACAGGAGTTATTTTATCGCTCTGTAAAATTTCTAAAACGCATAGTGAAGAACCATGATACAGGATTTCTCTCCGCCACAAGAAAAATAAATCAGCGATGGAATTTGATGAAGCAAGTCGAAGAAAGGAAGCAACGTTACAAAAAATGTACAAAAGAAAACAGCGACGGAGCGCGTTCTTGCACTCACGCTTTAGTTTATCCGACTCTGGCTCTGTATCACTCGAGCTGATGTCACTTGAGCTGACATTCGCTGGTGTGTTTAGCTGCTGGCGTAGAGTATCTCTTGCTTTCTCCGCTTGGCGTATGGCAGCGATGGGAAAGGAACAGTCGTGACTGTCACTTTGGCACTTGGAGGAACGTGGGCAGCGTGACTGGTGTGTCACCACTGTGTGTTTCAACAATGTTTTTGAATCCGGCACACATCCCTCTCCAGACAGCTGTCATACGCTCTGCTGGATCCGCTGACCAAGACTCTTGTACTGCCGCTGCCAGGTCGGACAATGTCTTCTTTGTCACCATCTCGCCATCAGTTTGCAGGCTTGCAAAGAATGCCAGGTCGTTGCACTTGCAGTTCAAACGTGGCGACTGAGCTGGCTGGCCTGGCCTTGACTGTCACGCTCTCCAAGTCAGGATGTCGATTTCCCCTGCTACAGTTCCAGTCTTCGAGCTGCGCTTGGCTTTTCGCTGCAGTGAATGTGTGCATTCGCTGCAGTGCATTCACTGCAGCGAAAAGTTCCCCACTTTCCCATCACAATCGTACGAATCGCGATGCCACTGGCGCTAGTCTCGATGGTTTTTTTCTTTCTGGTCTCCTTTGATCTTGCCATCACAACCTCCCAAACGAATGTGAGTTAGATATTGAGATCGGACTGGGTTTTACCTGTCAAAAGGTGCGTGGGAGATAAGCGACAATTGCGATGAAACGGACCAAGTACCATCAGGGAAGCCTCCAGGCAAAGTTATAGGAGGGCAATATAATCATTGCCAATGTTATACCATTTGCAAACTTGTTCCGTACGCGGTGTGAAAACAGACCTCATTCAGAGACTTATAACTTCTCTTTGGAACATGCTAAGACGCTCCGGTCTTTTGCAAATGAATGGTGGATCTTTCTAGCTTCTTTTGAGACCAAAATAGTGCAGATTCTATAAAAAAATAAGTGAGTTATAGCTTGTTAAAGTCATCGACGGATAGCGGTCGATTTTTGACTGGCCGGTCGGATAAGGGTTAACAGGTTTTACTGTACACCATTTTGTAAGATTTACACTCACTCCAACCGTAGCTTGCACGCAGCCTTGTGCAATGCTCATTGTACACGTACACCAGGCCAACAAGGCTCTTGAGACATGTGCACGGTTGGCATGCAGCGGGTCTGCTGGATTCCAGATACTACACTTGTCACTATAATCCGCATCAAACATGGATATCCAGCTAAATGAAAATGCTCAGCAGTAACACGCGTACTGTAGTGTCCTGTATTAAAGCCAGTCTCATAACAGAAGCCTGTTTTGAATACAAAAAAATCACGGTTCGCGTGAGACTCGGCCAAAGGCCCAGTTTTCCGCATCCGCAGGAACGCCACCACCCTCTTGGATCAAGGCGCAGATGCAGCTCCTAAGCGGTGGGAGGTGAGTAGATCAGACCCACCACAAAGTGGTCAAAGACCGAAATCCCATTCACTGCATCCATGTTTCCCTCGTGCCAGGCCCCAAGTTCAGCCCTCACCATCGTCTACACGGATTTCAAAAGCGTCGACCTCCATTTTGAAAACATGGTGGCTGGCCGCGCTACCCGTAGGCGCACGTGCCCACCGCGTGTCTCAGCGCGAGCTTCGAGCTCGCGAGCTAAAGATCATGTCGCCCACTCATTTTCCTGTGTTTCCCCATTTCTTCGAACTCGCTCAGCTTTTGCTTCAGCTTTTGCTTCGCTTGTGCTTCAGCTCCACGCTGTAGTCTGAGTTTAGTGCTCTTGTCTTCTTCCAGCAGAATACTGCAAACTCTACAGCACGTCGAGCTCCTCCTAGAAGAGTTTCTTTTGCGTCGAGGCAGACTGTCGATCGTTTCAGTCCTATCTTGCCGTCGTCTCATGAGCGCCCCGGAAAGCAACAGTATCTATTTTCTTGTCGTTCCATTTTCTGGCGAACTCATTCACCTACTACTTCTTCCTTTATGAAAGCTTCAGGTGGCTGAGTTCTCCCACTAGCGACAATCATGCCTTGGAAATGAACAGGATATTCCTAAGGTATATACAGCCAGTGCAGTGATGTCAGTGTACTGCGCGTACTAGTAGTTGTTTGTTTTGTCGAGAAAGAATCCCTTTCGCACTCGCGCGGGCCGCGAGGGCGCAGCACGGAAACAGGTCTATTGAATTCATTTCTTGGTCGATTTCGACAACCAATACGTCGTTGTTTTTCTTTTTTCACTGGCTATCCTTTCTCCGCTTCCGAATTGCGATGCCGTCCACCTGGAAAGCCTTGAAGTGAAACGAGTGGAGGCCGGTTTCGGAGGTAATTTTCGGCCAAACGGCAATCAAATCGAAAAATTCGAAGCGGACGATCTGTTGGTATCTATCGAAAGAAGACGTTGGCCCATAAAAAATCTTTGGAAACTACACCGTATGAACCAAGGAATTACGGTAAGTTTGAGAATTTTGGTACATTAGCTGTACGCTGATTGGTCGATTTGCGCGACCGTTGAGAAACGGGCCAGTGACGCTTTGTACAGCGTTGGTGAGGGCTGAAGTTCCCAATTAACTGAATACAAGCCTGATTTTATTATGCACTGGCGGCACATATGCCTAGTTTAGTGTTGACACAATCATATAGAAACATTGGGTTTGAATAGAAACCTGATGAAGCCTAGCCCTCACACAGGCTTTTACAGGAATAAGTCCGGCTTTAATACGCGACATAAATTAATACGGTAGTTTGTTCTTCTGCCACTCGACTGCTGGGTACCATGCCACCGATGAGGACTCTCCAGCAATTCGCTTTTCTGCACTCAACTTTTCGTCAACTTCACACAATGGCAATGATCACGAGAACGTGTCAAGCCGAATGTATACCCCCCCCCCCCCTCGCAACCCAATGCTAAAAGTGTACCAGCATGAATACCATTTCTGGGGCCCGTGCATGCTAGAGAACAATTTAGAACAGATAAACCAGCACTTCTTCGGTACAGGTTTTTTGAACTTTTTCATGGTCAAAGCGATCCAAACTACCTTAATGCTAAGCAACATCGCTCTTACTCTTGGTCGTAGTACTCGTCTTCCTTCGTCATACCAGCGGGCCGGACTGACTGCGGCTGCCGCGGGGCCACCGAGCGCATGCTAGCCGACGATCCCTGGCCGCGTACCAGCTGGGCACGCGCCGGTTGCATGGAGGACATGGGCGGCTGCTGGAAGCCAGTCTGTCGCCGCCGCTCCTCGAGCGCGATGCGCTGGCCCGGCAGCAGGTTCTCCTGGCTGCCGCCCATGCCCATCGGGCTGCCCGAGTTCGGGCTCGCGCTCAGCGGGCTGATGTTCATGACGCTACCACCACCCATACCGTGCATGCTCTGGGTGTTCATCAGGCCCGGCACCTCCATCTGCGGGCGGCCTTGGCTGCCGCCACCACCAACGCCACCCATGGACATGCCGCCCATCGGCGCCGGCTGGCCCATGTCCATGGGACGCTGTTGCTGCACGGGTTGCTGCTGCTGCTGCATAGGCTGCTGCACCGGCTGCGATATCTGCTGGTTCATTTGAGACGTGACGCTGATCGGTATCTCGCCCTGAGCAGCACCACCGCACAAACACACACCGACGCACAGAATAAGCTCATTGCGCAATGACGTCATTCGTACCATGAACACCCCACACAGCCTCCTGGGCATGGTCGCCTGGGGTGTTGAACAGTGCATTCCTGATCACAGCGTACTCACCTGCATATTTGGCAATGCGCAATGAGCTGCCAAATAACGTGCAACTACAGTCCATTTCAAAACTATATACGCGCAGTGTTTTTGAAATATTTTAAATTTGGCTGGAACTTTTTGAGAATCGTTTTCGGAATATTGCTCAGGTCCGCTCCACAATTATCGTAAAGTACCGTTGATCCGCCCCCTCTCTAATTCCCACCCCCTGTCGATTTTCTGCCTCTGAAGCGACTTCGGCGTATACAACGAAATACGATGTTGAACCGACGCGTGCACTGCTGTACACAATTTGTGCCAATCCAGGATGAAAATGTGCACAATCCAGCACATCGAGTCACACCCTCCAAGTTGTTGTACATCGTACTGCACTGGACAACATTGATCTAATTCCCGCCCCCTGCCCAAAACCCAGCTGGGAAGCGACTTGGCGTGGGGGCGGATCAACGGTACTTTACGGTACTCTCATAATTATAGTTTCTAAACGATTGGATAACAGACGCCCAATTTGGGAAAAAATATGCACAAAGTGATCACAGATGTTATGTGGTATAGATGCTGGCATAACGGTTTTTGCCTAGGTAAGCGTCTATAGTTTTGAAGGGACTGTAGACTTGGGAGGGCATTGCAGAGTAGTTGCATACAAAGTTCAAAGTTGTACGGGTACCTGTCACTTTTGCTCCTGCAGAGCCCAGGGCCTTAAGCCTGATTCACAATACAACTTTTTGCGACGCGACACGCGATTTGCGACAGTTGCGACAAGAAACTGCCTGTCGCGAGCTGTCGCAATGCGCCTGTCGCAGAAGTTGAAGAAAGTTCAACTTTTGCGACATGCGACACGCGACATACACAAATGGAGTACAGTTTCGACCCTGGGTGCACGTGCAGTGCACGTGCATAGTACTACTTGTGCATGAGGATGTCGCAAACATGAAGAATATTGTAAATTGTGTCGCTGTCGCAGCTCGTCGCATGTGTCGCAAGTCGCATGTCGCGTCGCAGAAAGTTGTATTGTGAATCGGGCTTTAGGAGTTTCAGCCTGAACGCAACCAGGCAGATGAGCGGACCTGATTGAACTGGCATCTCTTTTCACCTCCACCGGCCAATGCACCCTCTCTTGTAACTAAGTCAGGGTGTGTGTGTCTTAAGTTGACTCACCGATGAAGATGAAGGGAACACTGACTGTGGATGGGGTAAGGGGCATTGGTCCATGCATGTACATGTACAGTGGTGGAACCTGAAACGCGACACCGGATTTTCAAGTACATGTACAGTCAACTGCGCTAATAACGACAGAATCTCCATGCCCAGAGCAAAGTCCACCTAACTGTAATACCAAGAGTATATACTCCCCCCCCCCCCCCCAAGAGTGTGCAACTCCTCATACCCTTTCTATGGGGTACGCCGACAGCAAAAACTCACATCACGTGGTGCAGTGTCGCAGTTGTACGTTTCCAGCCAGTTTTTAGCGAGCAGCGGAGTAATAAAAACAGCACTTTCTGACAGAAACGCACTGCTGGTGTGCAAATCCCCAGCGTGATCATGGCAGATAATCGGATTGCGCGCACGCTATCCTCCGTTTGTATGTAGTACGAACTTGCCTGAGACACGTGATGCGAATTTTCGCCGTCGGAGACCCCATGCAGAGTTGCACACTCTCGGGGGGGTTATAATACTCTTGGCAATACATAAAATGAGACTTCGGGTATAAGACACTTCGCGAATAAGGACGCTTTTCTGATGCCCGGCCGAGTGTTGTTATACAAAAAGTTGACTGTACGAGTGCTGCAGAGCTGAAACGAATCCTAGCGAAAATGTGAAATGCTCCTGGCAAGCCAGCAATGCGTAAATATCACGGTTACATCACTCTCTGGTCTTGTGGTGATCACCATGCTCTACTGCATACATGTGTTCGCGTATACTGGCATGTTAGCATCCCCATGAACGCAGTGTAACCGCACTATACGCACAGTCTCGTATAGCACAAATAAACCTTGGCTACTGGCCAGAGTGCTCTCTGCAGACGACTAGTACAGTTGCAGCTGATGTATATCTGCGTGCGTGCATGCACTGTCCATGCTTTGAGGCTGGCGTGGCCGCATGCTATGTCGATGCAGTGAACGCACGCTGCTGTTGCTGGTGTCGCATTTCAGCTGCTACCGCTGTACTTGGAGTGCAGTGGCATTCAAAGGGTTAAGAGCAGCGTGCTAGCGTGAAGCTTCAAGGCTATGTGTGATCACTACTTACTCGTGCGCACTTGCCGATTTCCATCAGCCATCGGTCTCGGTCGCTGGTGAAAGAGCACTGTAAACGCAGCAAACACAAAAGTCGTGTACACACACACACGCACACTTGTACTTGGTGCTCACTGCCAAACTGGTCAAGTGGGTCTCCCCGGGAGAGGGGAGAGAGACTCAAAAGGAATCTTGGAAAGATGACTCAATTGGCTATTGAACCGCCCAATGGCCGACACCCCCTGAAATCCCCAAAACTCTGGGTGGACTTGAAAATGATCCCACTTATGGGCTCACCACACCTCAGTAAGTGGGTGAGGACAAGGTGCACACACACACACACACACACACACACACACACACACACACACACACACACACACACACACACACTATAGTTATATATTCACATACCCTCTATATCATGCAGCAGCCTGTTTCAAACTTTCAATAGGTCATCCTAGCTCGCGAGAGCAATGGAAGTCTGTGTACCTGCAACAGCCTCTGCAAGACTCTCCAGGACTCACCCGAAACCGGTACTCTCCGCGGTCGTTGCGAATCTTGAACTGGTAGTTTCCGTCCTTCGTCTTGTGCTTCTTCAGCTGAGTGTTGGTCGTCATCTTGATGGAACCAACCAGCTGACAAAAGCCAGAACAACGGGAAAAAAAGTACAAGAATAAGCAGCAGGCAGGATGACATTGTCAATCAGTAGCATTGACATCAGCAATGATAGCCTTGCAAACAATGTCGACAATGACGATGTTTCCTGTTCTACACCATAACTCAGTGGTTAGAGCATCGCTGGCTACAAGCGAGGGTCCCTGGTTCGAGTCCTGGTGGTGACAGTCAACTTTTTCTTCAGACTTTTCCCGCTTGTCTCTTTCCCTCAACCCAGTTAATATTTCCAGCAGTGTTATTTAATTTTCGGTCATGTTCTGGCCTGGAAGTTTTTGGCGGTGTGCTCTTCTGCCCCCACTGTTATTCTGTTAGGTGCAAAATTTCCGTATAGTATGCTCCATACGCTGCATGCCTTCCATCTGGATAGACGCTAACCAGCACACACTATAGACGCGGTTCTGAGCTGCACAAGTTCTGCTCTTGGCAAGTATTCCACGTGCTGCATGCGCCCTGTCCAGTCAATACAATACCGTTACGAGTCCTGGCTAACTGACATGGCTAACTGACATGGCTGAGTGTCATGGCTAACTGACATGGCTGAGTGTCATGGCTAACTGTCCACCAAAGTAACCAGATCACATGCAGTCGGAAAGCGCGACAGCACAGCATAAAACCGACAGGGAGCACTGTGACATTCAACGACCTCGCACCCATCTCCAACACATCTACGAGGCGCAAATCAACAACCTTCCAACTTGCGCGGCTCAGGTTAGGAAAGGTCCAATGAGGAGAAGGAAAGCACCACGAAGATGAGCACGAACTATATCCCATGGCAACAATAAATTTCCGAATGTTGCTGGATGATGACAAAACTAGTACTTACTACTTGGACAAACCAGTCTTACTACAACTTGACGATGCAAAGCAACAGACCACCCAACTTGGAATGTGCAAGTTGTTGCATTATACATAGAAAGGGGAAGCTCAGCATAGACGAATATGAGAAATCAAAATGGCAACATCCCAGTTGTAGTAAGACCGGTATGTCCAAGTACTAGTTTCGTCATTACAGGTCAGACCTCGCTATAACGACCCCCGTTATAACATAAACCTCACTACAACGTACAAATGTGAATGTCCCTGCCGAAACCGCATCACTTCTGTACAAAATTTCCTCGCTATAACATAATCCGCTATAGCGTAATGTTCGCTATAACACACTGTTTGCTGGGTCCCGGGCGCACAGAGACCTCAGCATAACGTAAAAACTCGTATAAAAATGACTATGTACACTGCATGCATGCCTTCTCGCGACGAATCCGAGACTGAGCCGTCCACCTCGGAAGCAGGGAGTAGTAAAATACCGGTATTTTACTACTCCCATTACTTTTTATAGGCTCTAATCTTGTCACATGTACACGTACACGCACTACATGACTCTTGTCACCCCTTTGCTCACAAGCCTGTACACATATTTGCTAGTCATCATCATACCTGTATGTAAAGCAGTGCAGTTGTTATCAGTAAGTGAAGAGCGTCATTTTGACATACATATTGCATATCGGTGTGCCCAACTCACTATAACATAAACCTCGCTATAACATAATTTCTCCCATCCCCCAGAGATTACGTTATAGCGAGGTCTGAGCTGTATCTAGTGACATCCGGACTTTATGTTGTCATGGGACATAGTTCGTGCTCATCTTCTCCAGACCTGATCCTTACAAGTTGGAAGGTTGTTGGTGTGCGCCTCTCAGATATGTTGGAGTGGGGTGTCAGGTCGTTGAATGTCTCAGCACTCCATATCAGTTTTGTGCCATATTGTTGCACTCCATGAGTATAATTATTATTATCTTGTTACTTTGGTGGATAGTTGATAGTCATAACTTGGTAGCATGTTGTCCTTCCTTTTTTCCATGACTACATTGGCTCACCATCCCAGTTCAATACCATACTATAAAATTACCGAGTCCAGGCAGGTAGGAAGGGGGGGGCACCCCCCCCCCCCCCCTTCCACTGTCTGCACATGCGATGCATGGATACATGAACATGACATATTGTGGTATAACAGCTTCTGTAGTGTACCACTCACACAACACGTTCAGATGGCCGCACTACATGCCTGCCTATGGCAAGTGTTGCAATATGACTGCAGTTTGTTGCAGTCCGTCTCATGCAGTCTCTCAAGAATGTTCATTGGAGGACAAGCAGATGTCAAGCCCTTCTCTGCCAAGTCTTGGAGAAGAACAAATGCTGTTGAACTGAGGATGTGAGACTTGCTATAATAGTTTACTCAAGGTCTAATCCGGTCAACATTCGAGCTAGGCACACTGGAGGCTATGCAAACACACCATTATTTCAGGCATTCGGGTTTTTTGAACTGCTTGGAGGCAACAAAAATTGCAATAGGCGAAAGCGTCACTTTTGTGAAAAGTATAATCCGGTGAACATTCGGGGCCTCAGCACTTTGGTGGCAATGCAAGAACACAAACAAGTCAACCTGCGCAGAGCGTTCATGATAACATATAATTATTATGTCGATTTATTGAGGACTTCACAGTTACAATAGCTATTTAGAGGGAAACATCACGCAGGGTCTTCCAGTAACGTCAGAACTTCGAATGTGGTTTCCAAAATTTCAGTTACAAACTAGCAACAATGGAGAAACTTGCAAGTAATTCGAATCATATCGAGAAGTTCCAGCTGCAAAGCATCTTACCGAACTGGGGTTGTTTGTATCTCGGTTGCTGAAGCACCATAATCGATCTCCTCTCAGTACACAATAGTATGTGACCCACTGCATGTGCGCGCCGACGTCCATGCACAGGACAAGGAACAAGGCACACCACAGGAGTCGTCAATGACAAGCTGACAGCCACCAACGTGCACGTCCCGGATACGATGCCACTCTATCGTCGCACATATTGTCTTGTCCTTAGGAGAACTTACCTTTCCCTTGGCCTCCTTTTTCTGCATGGAGCCTTCACAAAAAATGTACTGGTCTGCCATCCTGCCTGGCTAAATTGGCCCAAAGCCAAGCGGGCCTGTTCCGGAACGGCAGGCCTGGGGAGGACCGGAGCAGTAACCACCAACAAGGAAACTATTGAAAGAATGCAAAATGCTTCTTTTTTGTGAACGTGATCGGACCAAACCACACAGCTAGCTGTAGGGACGTGCCACAAAACGGGCCAACTAACTTTGTTTCAGGTTGCTTTCAGCTCTACTGCAAATCTATGCGGGCAGGTCAGAGCAAAGCAAAAGTTGCTTGCATGAAGTAGATGAACCAAGCAACGGGCTAGCTTTGTAGTTTGTACAATCCGAAGGGTACAAATCTACACGTCTACACTACGTAGTCTACTACTACAGTGTGCAGCAGGGAGTCGACTCCCTGGTGTGCAGTGATGCATAGTGGAGTGGACCACTTGCACTTGAAAGTTGAAGTCTTCCACACTCCACACTGTACTGTACTGACCACAGTTGCACATACCGTACCCCGCATGCAATCATGTGACCACAATTTTGTTATTATTATCTGGCTGTTTTCGGTTTGTTATGATTTCTTGGTTTTCCATATTAGACTGTTTTCACGGCCATTTTAGCTCTCTCGACTGTGTTCACAGCAGGGAGTAGTACAATAGGTATTGTACAACACAATAGGTATTGTACTACTCCCTGGCTCACAGCCATTTTTAGCTCGTTTTCTTCTGGTTGAGGTTGAGGTTACCGGTTGCGCTTGTACTTGTGTTTGTTTTGCCCGTACACATGGTACAAGAGGCTTGGTTGTTAAAAAAATCATGTGACCACTCACTTCGTCACTCGTCAGACGTCATGCTGACGTCAGCAAGCTGAGCATGATCATCCTGGACAGGGATCTAGGGAGTCGTCAAATACCGGTATTTGACGACTCCCTGATCCTGAACTACCGGTATCCAGTATCCGGGTCCGGGGAAACGGTCGGAATCAACATATTTGAAAGGGGAAGTCAGTTTTAAACCTGGATTTCAACAAAAACGAACGTCAAAAGCACTGGGTTTCTCAACCCGTGCGTCGAAAGGTGCGCAAAACAAAATACGGGTAGGTCATGATTATTGTTATGATAATAATGATCATGGGCAGGACTATAATAGTCGACTGCAGCACAGGTCCATTGCAGGACCAGATTCAGCAGAATCCGGAAACTGAGCATGCTGGAACTTCCCTCACTGCCTCAGCTTTCAACACTGCAACAGTCACTGAGTCAGCATATGCAGTGCAGCAACTGCAGCATGCAGCCTTTGCAGGCCACGCCACACGCTACTAGTCTAGATGCAGAAATGTCAAAACGAGAGACGTAGATCTACATGTACATCTACATGTAGATCTACGTCTACAGTTGTAGACGTTGACGTAGACGCACAGTCATGCATGGTCAACTCATGGTGGTTGAACCCAGGGCGTTTTTACGACACCCGGATTGCCGCACAACACGTCACTTTCGGAAGTTCTCTGATGCTGGATCTGGCTCATCCACCACGAACCAGACTAGCTGTTCCTCGCACATTTCATTTGCTTCCGAGCGTTTCCAGAAGAAGCCTCCTTCTTATTTTTCCTTGTGGCTTCACAGTACAAATTTGCATTTCATCACAATGGGTGACAACTCCGCATCTTTCTCAGTCACCGTGTCCACGGATGGTCCTCGCCCGACTTTTGACATTCCCGACGGTGAAGGTAACACGACCGGATGTAAGCTGACCAGGGTACCGACTGGACGGCCCGGCCAGAAGCAGAAGAAAAAGGAGGAGAGCTCCCCAGGCCCAAGCAAGTCGAAAGGTCTTGGACTGGGTCTGTCTACTTCGCGCGATTAGACATTGCCCACAGTTGTGCTCACTGCAAGAGCGGCATCGTCTCAGCTGGCTTATGTTGGATGTGCCACAGATCGTCAAGTCCACTCCAAATGACAACAGCGTCTTCGGGGAGATGCTCATCTAGTACATTCCGCGGTCATCGAACACCAAAAGGACTCGGCCTGTAAGAGATGACAATCTCGCTTGACTTTTATATTCGTTTGTCCTGTCTTCTTGTTGCTGCATTTGGTGGGTTTGTGTGAGTCCTCGGTCTTCTTGCCATGTTGAGCTGTACTTTTTGCGTGTTTTCTCGTAAAGAAGTCCAAGTGTTTTTGTTCGTTTGTCTTAGTGGTGCTCCACGTGGACTTTTGCCTTCGTGCATGCGTCTATCTATGGACATATCACCCTCCTGTTTGTTTAGAGAGGCTAGAAGGTCCTGACACCACGCGGTGTTGGGGCTTTTTTGGCGTAGTCGTTCGCCGTCTCCGTGCTGGAGTGCGTACATGTGCTTGCAAGCGTGTATGTGTCACTGTGTGTGTGTCCATGTGCGTTGTTGCGTGCTGTAAATAGCTTTTGTTGGGCCCACGAGAACTCGGTGTCGTCTCGTGTCACACTCGATGTCCGTCCGGTCCCCACCCGGTGCTTCCTAGATTTGCCGCGGCCAGATTTCTCAGTGTTGTGCTCAAATCCTATTATTTATCTTGACTCGTACTCTCTGGTCGCAGATTTTTCGCTGCCCTCCTTGCCACTATTCTCTTTCTTACCGCGTGCCTATAATCCGTTTTGCGTAACTCCGATACTGGCCATTTCCATTATTCTCGTTAGTGTACAGTATGATCGACTTTCATGGCCCAGTCTCTAAAAATCTCTCTTCCTCATTCTTGCTATTTTGAACCTGTTGAATGCAATGTAATAGTGTTTGTTCGCCCTCCACACTTGGTCATCGATCCGTGCTCTCGCAGATGAATTTGGAGAAGGAAGTGCCTATACTGTGTGTAGGCCTGGAAAAGCCCAATTGTCTGTGGAGTTGTGACGGCGCGACGATCTGCCTTGGCGGACGTGTGTGTGTGTGTGTGTGTGTGTGTGTGTGTGTGTGTGTGTGTGTGGTCAATTCATCAGCCTCGCAAGCTGTTGAATGGTGTAATCCCAGCACACATGGTTATGTCTAACATAGCTTGTTTGCTGTCATCGCTTCAGCGATGGGCAGGAGTATGAGTGTATGCCTGTGTGTGTCTGTATGCTTGTGTGTGTGTCTGTGTGTCTGTGAGTGGAAGCCCGGCAGAACCGGTCCGGTTGTCCAGGCCATGGCCGGACCAACTTTTTGGCCACCAACATGAACACATTGTGTTTACTGCTGAGGAGGTCATGTGTACACCATCCATATCGTACACACAAAGTATGAAAGGCTAGGGTAGGCTTTCCCCACATGGGCCCGTTTTTTCGCCTATTCGGCTTTTCGCTCGGCTCAAAATACATCAGATTTGGCTACAAAATCAGCTTTTTGTTCGCAAATCGGCTGCAAAATTGGAATAATAATTATAATGGAAAAATGGCTAGCAGCTGTAGGGTAGACCAACCAAAACCTGTCAGTTTCCGTCGGTCCTGGTGTACGTGTGTGTGCTTTTGGGGCAAGTTGCACATGGATAATAGAGAGGTTAAGATGCACGTTATTACGTGACGCGCAATTTCACGTCAAATTTGGCGTAAAACACCAAATTTCGACGTGAGCAGCAGGTCACTCGCGTTGATTTTTCGACGTGCGAGCAAATAACGCGAGCTGAATTTTCGTGTCACGTCGGAAATAACGTGCATCTTAACCTCTCAAATAACAAGTACAAGTATCCCTTGCGAGCTGCCACTTCCCAGCAGGGTTTGGGAACAACAGGAGTATAATGTTCATGTCTACAGTAGAGTCGCGCGTCCAAGAACATTGTTTCCAAGGGGTTAGCCTGGGGCTTTCTTTTATTCTCCAGTAATCTGGCTGCGTTCTTATATAGCACGTTCTTAGCATTTCAGGCCGTATGTTCTTCGGCGTGTGACTCTGCTGTACTTCATAAAGTAACTTACCGGTAGTTGTTTCTCGTGTATCCGCCTTCAAGATATTCAGTGCTTAGGAACGCCTCGCAGATTTTGTTCTTCTTCTGTTCTACATGTGCATTCCTAACACCTGTGTGTGCGTGTGTGTAATATCCCACAACAGCTAAACAACATAATGCTGTGTTGCGCACTGGTTTGCATGCACCCGGCAATATGCTCTGGTACATAGAGCATTATTGCTGTGATGTGGCAAGGGCATTTTTTTAAAGTTTGCATGGTAGCAAAAGTGATTCAAGGCCAGGGAAACCGGAATGGGAAGAAATATCATAGTCAACATTGAGCAGAATGAGGAGGAGGAGGAGGAGGAGGGCAAATAAATTATTTAAAAAATGTGATGGTGATACACTGGAGAAGTGCATGATTATAAACATGATTGGCTGATCAAGGGGGATGGCTTAGACGAGCACGAAGCATGCCGCCCTGGCTGGCCGCTGGCAGATGACTGTGAACTCTAAGGCAGCTTACACGCGTGTACACGGAGTGCATGTCCTGGACACATGATGCAGCAGTGTGCACAAGCGCTAGAGCTACGCCAAGGAAAAAAGCCTACGAATCATTTTTTGACTGTGTCACTGTTTGTGTGTGCACCTGGGGGGGGGGGGTGATTAACTCATATCATGTTTCAACCTTTGCAGATTAATATTATTGATGTGGATCACCAGGATTCTGAGTCTATTATTATTTGGTTCAACTTCACCTACACATATCTAACAGCTACTGTCATCCTATGTGGTCATGATCACTCCGTCCCTCATTAGGGGATTTCCCTATAGGAGACACAGTCCTCATCATTGTAGGTCCTGCTGGCTGGGGCTCCCGCAGCGTTTGATCACGGAAACTTCAATCAATCTCTCATCGGTATCAATACTCCCGAAGACTGCACGCCGTGTCCTATGCAACCGGCTCTCTGACACGGAGAACAGCCACTCCGGCAGCATTGGCCCCGCGTGCTGCCGGCGTGTTTGCCTTGCTCGTGTCATATAGCTGTGACGTCCATCTTGGCTTTCATCTCTGGCTGTCACTCGCACTAAGTCAGGTATGCCAGTTGGTGATGGACCACGACTTGAGTGAAATAAAATAAAATAAAATAAAAAAATGAAATAAATTCACATCCGTAGCAACACCACCACCCTCCACGGATCAAGCCGGACAGAAATGATAGTTATAGAATAAAGGTGAAAATCTGTGCAGGCCTTCTCTAAGCAGCCAGGATGACTGGATCTCTATACGAAGACGACTTGTCACTCTTGTAGGTGAGGCCCGGTGATGGAACAGCAGAATAAACATTTCTGTACATCTGCATCGTGAAACGACGAAAGTCTCCATTGTCTGCCTGTTGGATGTTCTCACGTACATGTATGGCTTCAGTGTGGCACAGGCCGAGGCAGAGGACACTAGCTCCTCTGCTACAAGTGATTGCCGGGCAGGACCTGGTCTGATCACAGGCTCTCCGACCACATGAGCTACGTGCATGCACAGGCGGATGGACAGTGCATACAGCCGGAGGGTGAACAGTACGCATGGCCGGATGGAGAGTGCGTACAGCGGGGTGGAAAGTACGTACCGCGGGGTGGAGAGTGCGTAGAGCGGCGTGGACAGTACGCACATTCGGACGGAGAGTACGCACAGCCGGAGGGTAAATAGTACGTAGAGCCTGATGGAGAGCAGGCACATTCGGACGGAGTGCACACAGCTAACGGGTAAGCAGTGCACACAGCCGAACAGAGAGTGCACACAGCCAGATGAATAGTATGCATATAGCCCGGCTGGAGAGCGAGCACAGTGGGATGGAGAGAGCACGTACATCCGGACAGTGAGTACACACAGCCAGGCAGAGAGGGCTCACCGCATGATCCTGCGTATAGGCCTACACACAGCCAGGCAGAGGGTACATACACCCAGGTGGAGAGTACAAACGGCCAGACACAGAAAGTGCTCACCGCATGATCCAGCGCACAGGCCTACACGTAGCTGTCATGCAGGCGCGGCGGTGACGACATGGCACCCTTGCGCTGGCGTAGCGCGGCCAGTATCTTTCGACGTGGTCCTAGCGGCATGTCCAGGTCCTTCAAGTCCAGGTCGGAGCACAGCATGAGAGCGGACATGTCAACCTGCTCCTCCTCCAGCAGTGCAAGGAACTCGTCCAGCTCCAGCGTGTGCAGAAAGCTAGCCACTTGAGAGTGTGCATCTCTGGTGGCGTCGTCCGGGCCATGACGAGCCGTGGCACGCTCCCTATCGACCGGTTTCTCCGCGGCTGGCTGCTGATGCTGCTTGTGCTTTGCCGTGCTTTTGCCGCGCGGTGCGGTGCACAGTTCCGAATCACTGGCACCGCGCGGCAGGAAGGATTCGCCGCTCGAGCGCGGCTTGCGCTTCGCCGCCTTGCTGCGGCCCTCGGAACGCGTGCTATGTGCGTCGCTGTCGAACCCGTCGCTGGCTACCGGCAGAGCAGCCAGATTGCGAGTGAGCGATTCCTCGTCGCCCGGGCCGAGCCCGCCCAGCGTCTGAAGCCGCTGCACGGCCTGCGCCATTTTGTTGACGCGGCCAGTGGACACTGGTGCAGACGATGTCAGAAAGACAGACGTTTCCGACTTGCTCCTCTCGCCCAGCTGGTGAGCGTGGTGCTGGGTTGGGCGCAACGAGAACTTGTCACGTATCCCGCTCACCAGCTTGGTAGGAAACGAATCCGGAGCTGTTGTCACGGACGACGGCGGTGCGGCGGGAGCAGAGTCCTTGCGCCAGCGCGACTTCTTTGACTTTGCCTCAGCGTGGCTTGCAGCGGCCGTTCTCATGCCGTCATTCTGAAGTGGTGGGTTGATCGGCTCGGAGAAGGCCCGTGACCTCTCCGGTAGCGGCTCCTGGCTGCCGCTTGCGACCAGCTGACTTGTTTTGCGTCGTCGGCCGGCGGACTTTTCGTCCAGTTTGCTGCGAGCTGCTAGTCGCTTGTTGTAGTCACGAAGAGCGCGGGTCTTCGCCTTCTCCATGCTCGACCGATGCTCCGTCATCATGCGTACCTGCAGTGCGTCGAGATAGCGGAAGACCTGCGTATGGCTGTGCGTTGCGGCGAGGTCGTACGCCGTCAACTGGCCGTCGTTCAGCGCCCACACGTTGGCCTGCGCCGCCTCAATCAGGTGCCTGACGAGCGCGGTGTGGCCGTGTCGGGCTGCCACGTGAACGCACGTCTGGCCCTCGTTGTCCAGCGCATTGGCATCCGCTCTGCACAGACACACACACCGCAAACAGACAGGTGCAATGTTGCTAATTTGATCGCTCGCTCAATTGTCGAGAACGGTTTCCAAAAAAGGTACGGTGGAACATATCAGACAATATGTCCCTGGCAAGCTACTGGGAAGCCTTCCGACACCCACCCAGGCAAGAAAGACAGTGGTATCACCCGTCACCTCAATGAACTAGGAGCGTAGCTCGTCAGCATAGTCCGGTCACAACACCAAATATGGCCAGCACAGTTACGACAGTGCTGGCACCTGAAATCCGACCCATTGAGCGGTGGGTTCACATCGCAAAGACCCAACACGGGAAAGTAAAACTACGAAAATAGAGACGGCTAGAATGTGGACGCATTGCTAAGGGGTCGGATTTCAGTTGCCAGCACTGTACATAGTGAAATGGGCAAAACTGGCGAATATGAGGTTGCCAGTGGCACATGTACATCATGAGTGCCGGAAGCAGTTTATGATTGGTCTGGTAGTATCATGGCCTTCCATACTTTGTGTATGATATGGCGTGTACACATACCCTCCACAGTGAGAAACATGGCCTTTCACACAGTTTGTGTATGATATGGCGTGTACACATACCCTCCACAGTGTGAAACATGTGTTGGTGGGCAAAAAGCTGGTCCGGTGATAACCTGACCAACCGGACCGGTTCTGGCGGGCCTGTACATACAAGGTCACCACATTACGCCCCTGTTAGAACAGCTGATAGCCAGAGTGTATCCTGGAGCAGAGCAGGGTCTGCTACAGCGTAAGCACCCTGGCGCCTAACTGGCCACACCGTCATACCCCCCCCCCCCCCCCCCGGAGATGGTGTGCAACCCATTGAACCCAATGCAGCCAAACTCCCATTGCCATGCAAGCCAATGCGTCACGTCACGGCTCTGAATCTCTTCACCCGGACATGACAAGTGACGTGACTACCAAACTACAGCTGCTTGAGCTGTCTTCCTAAAAACCGACCTAAAACGGGGCAGTGAACTTACAACCGGGGTATAACTGCCCTTAAACCGGTAAATCGAGGCCCTGAGTTTATAGGTCGACTTGTAACCAGGGTCGACTTCCAATCGGTAAAATACGGTAGCTGCTTCTACCTTGTTTGGTCTCATCAGCAGGTCGAGCTCAGAATCACTAGATGAAGCAATCGCAATCAAATCCAGTGAACAACAAAGCAGTTTAGACCAATGACTGGTAACTGGTAACCGTATCGTAATTACACTTTTAGAGTACCGGGATGTTACATAGCGCCCTTAGGCCAAGAGTGAGTGTGCAACTCATGCACGCGGTGCTGCTCCGACAGAATTTTAAACTTGCATGGCGTCACAGTGTCTTTATGAGGCAATGCTGCTCGCACGAGTGATTTACAAAGCGTTCGTTCGGGAGCGTCAACGCAGCACACATGCTCCCGGGACTCCCCTGGCACTGGCCACGCCTAGGATAAGCCCCACAATACGTGTACACCGCGTACACCATGCCGCACATCATACCCGGCAAAATAACGTCAGCTTGAAATTCTGCCGGGGTCGACGACAGCACTGGTACTGAATCAGAGGCTGATAGTGCAGTAGTGGAGTTGCACACTCATGAGGTCATGCTACTCCTATAATCTTGTTGAGCAGTACATGACTGTATAGATTCAACCTCGCTAATAACGACTGCGGATACTCGAGTATCGACAGAATTTCCATGCCCAGAGCAAATTCCCATCTAACTGTAATACATAATGAGACTTCGGGTATAACGACACTTCGCGAATAAGGACACATTTTTGATGCCCCGCCGAATGTCGTTATAAGCAAAGTTGACTGTACATGTACTTCAAGTGCGGTCATGCATACTGGCTGCAGATGGTTGACCTATGTGGCAGGATTGGGGCGTGGTGTTTGAATGGGCTATTCGGACATGTCAGAAACCCCCATGCAGTGTGTAGCATAGCAAATTAATTCCCCCCCCCCCCCCCACACACACACACACTCACGCACCTATAAGGCGCCGGTCACACATGCAGGCGGCGACACCGCTTTTGCGGCTGCCTCCAACACGCTGGCAGTGGGCGCTTTTGCGGCTCTTTTCTGCCGGCGGTCACACATGCAAAGGCTTTGGTACGCACGCAGCCTCAAGGGTCTCCACAGGTGTCGTAAAACTTTTCTCTGAAAAATACTGTAGCCTCAAAATTCCTTTCCTGCGCTGGTATGGATCGCAGAAACGCCCAGAATCGCCGACTACGTCGTGACCAGCGACTGCGGAGAGCTATGGAGATTGCCTCAATATTCATGTTGTTCAATTTCTCTTCGTTTGAATCTTGCGGAAGCTCCTTGAGCATCGGTGGACGCCTGAGTCGAGTCCCATGTCGGATGGTTGACCTCGAAATAGAGGGAGAGGAGCAGTTGCTCTTGGTCGGCAGTCCACTTCATGACGAGAGATGAAAAACTAATTTTTCCAAGATCCAAGAGATCCAACGACAACGCCGCAAAAGTTGCACTACCGCTTTTGTGTTTCGCCACCAATTTTTTGGTTGTGGCGCTTTTGAGATTGCCGCCGTGGCGCCAGTGGCGCCAGGCGCAGTATCCATGGTGATCCGGGGATATCCCAACTTTTGTGGTGCAGCTTTGGTGGTGTCGCAAAAGCGCCATGCATGTGTGACCGGCGCCTAAATCGCCCGACTACTTTTGGAATCCCTAATCCTACTTGCAAATCTCTCTCTCTCAGCTATCATTCACACACTGCTCACTCGCTCGCTCCAGCTCAACAAACACAGCAAGCACATCATCGTGCCGATAATCTACTCGTCTCACCCTCGAGTGATGAGCATTCTCGCCGCCTCCAGACTTCCAGCCTTGGCCGCGCAGTGTAGCGGGGTCATTCCCAGTTGGTCCTGACGCACCAGATCGCGCTTGCCCACTCGCCGCAGCATGGCCAGGTCACCAGTGCTGGCGGCATCGTGGAACAGCGACATGGCCTGCTCAGCCGCTCCGATCCGGAGATCTACTGATCTTGTAGCGTGGATAACTGAGTCTGTGGCACCGCACTACCCTGAAAACCAATGTGTACCCACACGCGCTGAGCGCTGGTCGACAAACGTTACCGGTACAAACGCCCGCAACGTGATCATCGGACAAAACAAACCGACTGATTCATTCACGCCTGCAGCACCGAACCCCTGTGTACATGTGTCGGCGCTTTCCAGACGATGTTCAGGACGCTGCACTCGATTCTACAGTGAATAGCGTCGCGCACATCTCAGTCGCCGGCGATGTGCCCATTGGGTGAAGGACGAAACAACCGGCGATCTGGAAGCTGGAGCCGAGAGCGCGAGAAACAGGTCGACGCTGTTCTGGAGCGACCATTAGCGGTAGGGCTAGGGGGCAGTGCTCCGCACACTGAGTCCTCGCAGCCGCCAGGGCATGCTCGTCTTGTATGGGCCACGAGTGAATGAAGCAGGGCGTTGCCGGGCTGATGTCCTTCCCAGCTGCCCCGGAGACGAGAAGTAACGCCGAAGACACCGCTGGCTTGGACAAGGACCTCGGGTCGATCAGGTAAGCTAATCACTGCCGCTAGCTCTCTCTCTCAGTCACGGTTTGGGACACGGACTGATTGCATGGGATTCGATCAAACGTTGGAAATATCCCCGCTTCAGAAGCAACAAGAGAAACTGTCATGATCGCGTTCGGATTTTGATTCTATCTGCCCTGCGCTAGCTGCATGCATGCATGATGCGGCAGCCCCTGGCTATTTTTTTGCACCATGATCATGATGATCCAGGTGACGTAGTCGTGGACGGACGCAACGGAATTTTACAGCCACGGGTGCGGGATCTGGTGATCGAGAGATGGGTGGCCGTCATAAAAGTGATGGGGCAAGGTCCTCCGGCTGGGCGCGCCCTTCATGTGCATATTATAATGTAGTTGACACAATGACAGGCACCCCAGATCGTGGTGTGAGAATGCCCCACATGTACGAAGAAGTACAGGTTCCTGCGCGAGTACGAGGGCAGTACGGCGGAATCCGGCGCGGGCTGGATGAACAGCGGTATTGGCCGAGACGACGGCCAGTGGATCCAGTTCCATCACCTTTGAGCAGGCAGGACCGCGCTTTCCAGCCCGGCTAGCACTACTTACATACACTGTTCTGTGCAGCTGAACGCGGCGCTACTTGTTTTTCTTTCGTGAGGATGGATTTCTCTGGCCAGGATTGCATTTGCGTGTGCATACATGAGCAAGTCACGGACCACGGCACGTGCGTGGTTACCATGCCATCTCGAACCGACGCCATCTTGCTAAGTAAGTTGCCGCTTCTTGACAGGCGTGTGCGGTGAAACACGCATGAGGCATGATCAGGGCATGGAAGCTGAAAAGGTCGGAAAAAGAAGGAGAAGAAAAGAAAGGCCAGAATTGTACAAGTGCACAGTGCATTACAGGGTCCGAGTGCCACAACATCTATAAGCGATTGCATCGTGCTTGGGCAAAGTCGCAGCATGGGCAACGATGCTCCAGGCAGCACATGTACTGTAAAGTGAGAAACTTTCGCTAGAGATTAAATTTCGCTATTTTCGCGACCATCACACATTCGCGAATATAAATCGCCGCAAACCTCTCCGTACATTGATTGTAGACAGTACAAGATCCGACTGAAGAGATAGAGTCGCAAAAGTTTCTCACCGTGAACCGGCCCAATTTATAAAAACGCTAAATTTGCGCGCCGCGAAAGTTTGTCGCTTTACAGTACATGACATGTAAACAGCTACATTGTACTGTTTACACAACGCCCATAAGCGGTTCACTGACTTGAGCTGTATAATAACTGTGACCAGGAGCGGGTTATGCACTCTTTGATAACACCCATAAGCAGTTCAGCTGACTCGACCTGCACATGCATGACACCAAGAGTGGATTTTAAAAGTGTCAGTAGCACCAACGCAGCCGCAATCCACACAGTCAAGTAAAGCCGATTTAGTAACCGAAAGTTTTCGTTCCCTTCTCCGGCATCATGATTAAACACTTTTAAATTCTCCGGCATCATGATTAAAGTACAGGGAATAATGGAAAAAATGTCAAAATACTGCAACTTATAGAGCTAAAGCAAAAGCATAGATCGAGAACCTCACGCTATACGTGTGGCAAAAATAAAATCCAGCTGAACAGGTCAAAAACAGGGTGAAGGTGAAGAAATGACTAAAACATAATGAAAACTTCAGTGAGCTGATTGTAAACTAACTGTTATTTGTAGCACTTTCACAGTTTCTGAGTAAATGATTGATTTACTTTTATTTTCATACCGTATTTCCACAAATAAAAGACCGTCCTCGTATACAACGCCTTCCTCGAATACAAGGCCGGGGCAGGGGGCGATTGAAAAATACAAGACCGTCTCCGATTAGAAGACCAGGCCTACTAAATGAGTCTTACGACCGTGCTCAAACTGTGGGAAAAATAGAAGACTGTGCTCAAACTGTGTAGAAGAAAATGGAAGAACGGGGGTAAAACTGTGTGGCGGAAAATAGAAGACCGGGGTTAAACTGGGTTGAAAGAATAAAAGATCGTCCTCGAACACAAGACCGTCCTCAATTATAAGGCCGGGTTAGGATGAGTTTGAGAAAATAGTAGACCGGCCAACTATTTGCGGAAATACGGTATGCAAAAAAAACAAAAAAACATGGTGGTGATAGTGGAGAATATAGCTTGTAGCTCTTTGGTTCTCTTTTCTTCTTATTGAACATCAGTGGATTATTATAGTCTTGATAACACCCATAAGCAGTCCCGGCGCTGAGTCACCGCCATGATATCATCCGAACAGCCTCCATACCATAGAGGCATACAATGACATATGTCCGGTGTCGACTGGCGTTTGCATTGTTGCGGTCGGCGATCATGTGCATCCGCGGTGCTCGATCGTCATATCACCGTCCTGTGAATGCATTGCGAGAGTTGGCAATCTCGGAGGGCCGGCTGTGAGGTTTTGGAGACGATGGTGGGCAGGACAGTGCCCTTGTATTTTCCTGTTTTTTGTTTTGTTTTTTTGTTTCTCGTTTTTGCGTTTTTTTCACACATACAATTGTTTTCATTTTTTGGTGTTGTGTTCTAATCATTCGCCATGCCACTGTCAATTGTATTCTGTTTGCCCGTAAAAGAGGCCTTTACTCCATACCATAGAGGCGGTTATCATGATTACATCATGCCAGTTGAGAGATCAGCTTTGGCGGAGTCGCATCACCACAGTGCACTAGCTCAAGAGAAACCGCTGCAGTACGGTCGGGCGCCGAAGAACGACCAGGCTAGAATTTCACCAAGCACACACAGCATACCAATGTATGCACGGTGACTCAACTGCGCATAGACTGTAAATACGTGAAAATAAAATAAAATAAACCGGTCTAGGCTAGGAGGCTGACAGCCCGGTTCTTCGGCGGCCGTCAGTACTATAATTCACCCTCATAGCATAATAAGCAGTGTGCGCGTTGTACCGATGTATGGAATCCCCTCAGACCCCGGCGTTCGCGCGTTGAATGTGCAAGACCCTATCGTGTTTTCCACTGCGAAATGGGACCCGAAGGCAATTTTCTTACGAAAGAAAATTCCAGGCAAAGATCTGCAGGTACAATGTCAGGGCTGCTACTTGTTCCGAGTTTTCGGAAACACTCTTATCTTTACAGGTCGTTCCGACACACGAAAAACCCCGAAAACAATCCACTCTTTTTCTAGGATTGTTCACGAAAGCGCCCTGATCTGTTGTTTCAGGCTCTTTGAATCTTGAAAATGCTTTGGCTTTTATAAAGGGAACACTACATCCTTACTCCACAGACCCTTTCAGAGAAGTTTCTTCCGGCAGAAAGGTGGCAGCCCTGCAATGTACTAATGTGCTACTTGTAGTCACTAGCCCTATCCAAAGTAATGAGGCAGGACCTGCGACCCTCTGCCAAGTCAGTACTGGGCTAAATTGGTCAAAAGTTTTGACTTTGTTGCATTAGGGAGGTTTCCCTCTACGTAATTACGTATGAAAATCCGTATGTCGTACGCGCCGGGGAGCGAGGGCAACTTTCATACTTCAGTACGTAAATCTCGCTACGGATTTCCGTAGGAAAGCTCTTTCCTACGTAAATCTCTCTACGGATTTCCGTAGGAAAGCTCTTTCCTACGTTGGGTCCTCCGTAGGAAAGCTCTTTCCTACGTTGGGTCCTCCGTAGGACTTTTTGAAATATTTTTTTCACATTTTCCGCATTTGTCCATGGCAACGTTCAAGCCGCGCGAAACACAAGGTGCACACACCGTACACCACGTGCAAAATATAATGGAAAACGCGGTTTCGGTTCATGGTGCATGCGGTGGGCACATGCAGCCAACGCGTCTCCAAAGCAACAACCCATGTTTAGCAGTCATGGAGAAATCACGTAGAGCGAAACCCAACAGCTCCGAGTTTTACGTATGAAAATTCCGTGAAGTTCATACGTCATTTTCATACGTAATTCCGTAGAGCAAAACCTCCCTATTGTCTGTCCCTCCAGGAATCCGCGATTCCGCGGAATTCATGTTTTTTTAATATCTCACGGAATTCACAGTTTTCACCGCAGAATCGTGGAAAATCACGGTTTGGGGGCAATGCGAGCACGCGCTTCATATTCATGCACAGTGCAGTGTCCTGTCGCTATTTTGTTGCATTCAAAGTCGAGGGAGTTTTCTTCGTTATTAGAGAGGTTAAGTTACACGTTTTTTGCCCTTTTCCAAAACGCGGTGCAAATCTCACGTTACGTGTAATTTTTAGAGGTTAAGTTACACGTGCGACGTGACGTGAAATTTTGCCTGGCAGGATTCGGGTTTAGTTCGCACAAATATCAAATCTTTCAACAAACTCGATAAAATTCCGGAAACTCACACAAATTCGGTCGGAATAACCAAGCGAAACTTCCAAAAACTCACGTCATGAACTTACGTGCGGGACAGTCAACTCACGTAAAACACGTCAAATTTTACGTGAGTTTTTTCACTTTTTGACGTAAAAGTTCACGGACGTAAGACTTTTACGTGAAACTTAACCTCTCTACTGTATTGAGCCTATTGTGTGTTTTCGACCACTAAATTTTTTATTGATACTTGTACATAGCATATAGCCATGTCTTTTCGCCGGTGCAGCGCCGCACAAATACCGCAGTAATGGCGATTTGTGCCGCAGAATTCTGCGCAGAATTTCAACTTTCTGTCCGCGGATTCCTGGAGGGACAGCATTGTTTTGGTTGCACGTTACGTACAGTCTTCTGTGCACCCTGGAACGCTTGCGTCATTGTGATGTGTACAATATGGTTGTGCGGAATGCTCACATGTTGCCACAACGTTTGTCTTTTCTTCAGTTATCAGTTTTGCCTCGTCGTGTCCGGTCTTCTGATCAGTTCGTCTCCATCTTGTCAAGGAATTATGTAGAACTTTTAGCTCAGTTGCATTGTTGTGTGTGGCGAGGCTGGGCCCCTGATATGACGTCTTGGGAATATGTGCTGGTGCACAAAACCTGGCACACTGTAATGCTATGATACGGAACTGACTTTCTCGCCAGCACAGAATCAGATCTGCAGAGATCAGTCAGACACCAAGATGATCCTACCATCATCCTGGTCACCCCCCCCCCCCCCCCCCTGATCCTGGTAACACAGAAGTCCCTCCCCGCAATGAACCTGGTCACGCACAACCCCCCCCCCCCGAACCTGGTCATGCACACGCCCTTCCTTGAACCGGGTCACATAGAAGCCCCCCCCATGAACCTGGTCATGCACAAGCCCCCCCCCCCCCCCTGAACCAGGTCACGCACTCCCCCCCCCCCCCCCCACACACATCAGGCAAGTAAACAGAGCCAATGCAGGGAGACCGAGATGTCGAGAGCACGCACTGCACAAAGCAAAACAGACACTGGAGAACTAGGTAGCCAGCAACAGCAAACGAACCAAAATCTACAGAGAAAGCTCAAAAACAGGCACAGCAGACGACGACGACGAAGCAGCACACAGCCTCAATGGTGGGGGTGTGCGGTGCACACAGCCTCAATGGTGGGGGTGTGCGCTGTGTGCAAACATGCAGATAAACTCGTACTACTACCACGACGACGACGAAACAAAGAGCAGACACTGACGAAGAACTGGGAAGAAAGGACGGCCGGTCCGGGACTATAGTGAACCGTATCCGGGACAACAAGACCGGCAATTACAGACAGGCTGCCCGCGACCATGACATGATGGTGGCACGAGGAGGGCTACCATATTCGGCATCAGGACAACGCCAAACATGGAGTTGCCGAGTGTTTTTTCTTCACTACTAAGTATGGCTCCTGCTCCGATGGCCACCATACAGCATAATACGTGTGTGGAATTCTATGCGATACACACACAATGTTATCACGTTGATGCCAACGAAGTCCAAGATCACAGTAAAAAAGGGGAGGACGCAGTTGCTTCCACTGCGACGTCATCTCTCGCCTAGCGAGCGGTCAACACGGCGAAATCTTCAGCCATTCAGCTGCCCGGCGTCGAACCGTGCCTGGTCGAAAATCTCAGCATGTACCGTACGGCCGGCGAACAAACGACCGGCCAGTGACTGACGGGCCTTCTCTGCCTCTGTGGGAATACAAAAACACACACGCACAGACAGACACACACACATGCAGACAGACACACGCACACACACGCACACACACACACACACACATAGACAGAGACACAGACAGAGACACAGACAGACACACAGACACACACACACACAGAAGCGCAAGCACACGTGTACACATACTTGGCATCAACGACTGATTTCTTTCGCCGCAGGTGGAGCTCAGAGGATACTAGCATACCGAACACCCACACAGAACTTGCTGGAACACATCGAACAATCAGATCTTGTTTGTCTCACCATTGTTGCTCCCGGCTAGAACACACGTACGTACGTACACACACACACACACACACCATTGGACCATTGGACGCCCATCGCCAGAGGCGATGATAGCGATGCTACAGCAGAAGCCATAGCAGCTTGTGCTGGGATTGCACCATTCAACAGCTTGCAAGGCTGAAGAATTGACCGCCACTATTCAGCCTGGTCTACACCACACAGCTATGAAGTGGCTTTTTCTGGCCAGTGAATCCCTACTTTTTGGTCTTTTTCATTTTTTTCATTTTTTTCACGCACACATCACACCACATACTCCAGCATGCACTGGCTGTTGGTAACCAACCAGGAGAATGAAAGAAAAGTCAGGAAGAGTCCGACACACACACACACACACACACACACACACACACACACACACACACACACACACACACACAGGTCCATCTCTTCAACCATGGGCATTCGCCATAGCTGCTCCTGGCGAAGCTACACATGCACACACGCAGATGTAGGCTGCCCGGGGTATGCAGTATCATAATTATTATCTATGGGAGCATGCAGCCTGGGGTGGAACCAACATCGGCTATAAGCCCGGCACACAATGAGTACAGCACATGCGGGTGCAAGAACCCTTTCACAAGCGGGTGCAAGAACCCTTTCACAAGCGGGTACAAGAACCCTTTCACACGCAGCACTTCACCCCTAAACTAGGGTCATCATCTAACCCGTGCATCAAACCGACAACAGTCAACTTCGCTAATAATGACTGCGGATATAACGACAAGTCGCGAATAACGACAGAATTTCCATGCCCAGAGCAAAGTCCCATCCAACTGCAATACATATAATGAGACTTCAGGTATAAGGACACTTCGCGAATAAGGACACTTTTCTGATGCCCCGCCGAGTGTCGTTATACGCAAAGTTGACCGTATACATGCAGAACCTCTGGAATGCCCAAGTAAAATAATAAAATACAAAATAGCCATAGGCATACTAGTACTGTAGAACGGGTAACTTTAGCGACGTAAAAACCCTACCTCTAGTTTCGTAAAAACCCTACCTCTAATTTCGTAAAAACCCTAGCGAATTTAGCGATCGACTCATTTTCGCTAAAGTTTCAAGTCGCTAATCCGTTGAGACATTAGTACCAGTGCACTGGTGATCCGTGAGTACAATGCACTACTACATCATAGTACATGTACATGTAGTAGTAGTACTACCGGTAGCACTACAGTCTACACTAGACACATGTTTTATGATGTTCTCTCGTAGTGCACTTTATATATATAGTACACGGTAGTGATGGTTTGTACATACAGTACAAGTAGTAGAATGCAGTACAGTCGACCTACCCTTATAACGATAACCTCTATAACGATATTTTTCTGCCAAACCAAATCACTCCATTGACTTGTGTATACAGTGCCTTACCTCTATAACAATATTGTTATAACGATATTACCCCTATAACGATATAAAATGGGCTGACCAATCGACATTTTCCATTTTATAACAATATCTAGCAAGCAACATGTAGAGCCCACTATCCAGGTAGGGCAAGCTTCACTTGATAAGTCGCTGGGACATGACGAAATGCAATGGGGGCACCAGTGGGCACCTTGCTGTGCCCATAATGAGCACGTACGTCAGTTTTTTATGCTATGAAGAGTGTAAAAAATGAACAGAATTCATGCATTATGACGTATGTGTATGAAATGAACCAGTTACCCCTATAACAATATTACCCTTATAACAATATTAATTTTCTTGGTGTGACGGAAATATCGTTATAAGGGTAGGTCGACTGTATCAAAATGTGTACAACAAAGAAAAATGCAAATCGCTAAAATAAAACATCGCTAACTGATTGCCAATGGGAAAACGCTAAAATTGATAGTCGCTAGAATTACCCGTTCTACAGTATCCTGAAACTCAGCTCATAAGTGCATCCCGAAACTTCGCTGATGAGCATTTCCTGAAGCAAAGCCGAATTGCACTTCCTGAAACAGCTCATGAACATTTCCTGAAGCAAAGCCGAAGTGCACTTCCTGAAACAGCTCATGAACATTTCCTGAAACAGCTCATGAACATTTCCTGAAACAGCTCATGAATATTTCCTGAAGCAAAGCCGAAGTGCACTTCCTGAAACAGCTCATGAACATTTCCTGAAGCAAAGCCGAAGTGCATTTCCTGAAACAGCTCATGAACATTTCCTGAAACTTCGCTGATGAGCATTTCCTGAAACAGCTCATGAACATTTCCCGAAACTTAGCTGATAAACATTTCCTGGCACGAAGCTCCTGAGCATTTCCTGAAACTTAGCTCAAGAGCACATCCTGAAACTTAGCTGATGAGCATTTTCTGACACCCAGCTTGTGAGCACATCCTGAAACTTAGCCTACCCTGAATTTTCTGGTTATGAGTACTATAAATCAGCAAATTTTGGCCAGTGAGAAACTTTCGCCGATCTCGAAATGAAACTTTTGGCCGATTGGGGTTTTCCAAAAAGACATCAATCGCTAGTTGTTGCTTTCACATGCAGCTATGGCTCAATCTTCCATCACTTGCCTCTATCACAAACTTTGGCCTGTGATTTACTTTGGCCGGTTTGCACCAAGCGGCGAAATCAGCGAAATTAAATCGCCAGCGAATATTACTGTAAACCAC